ATTATTATTATTATTATTATTATTATTATTATTATATTATTATTATTATTATTATTATTATTATTATATTATTATTATTATTATTATTATTATTATTATTATTATTATTATTATTATTATTATTATATATTATTATTATTATTATAATTATTATTATTATTATTATTAATATTGTTATTATTATTATTATTATTATTATTATTATTAATATTGTTATTATTATTATTATTATTATTATTATTATTATTATTATTATTATTATTATTATTATTATTATTATTATTATTATTATTATTATTATTATTATTATTATTATTATTATTATTATTATTATTATTATTATTATTATTATTATTATTATTATTATTATTGTTATTTTTATTATTATTATTATTATTATTATTATTATTATTATTATTATTATTATTATTATTATTATTATTTTTTTTTTTTTTTTTTTTAATTAGTCCTTAATACAAATTTCTTACAAGTTCTCAATCGTGTCAAAATTTTTTCAATTCTAACATTGTTAAACATTCCATTAGCCACATGCATTGATTTCATTCAAAATACTAAAAAAAATTCTCTGTCTGTCGATATAGAAATTCAGTACCCGCGACGCCTAAAAAATATTATTCAAAATAATGTCCAAATTCCATTTGAATGAAGAAAGTGGATTTCGCTACGAAAAAAATATTGCATTTTGGTCACGTTCAGAATTTGACATGTAGTTCGATTCAAAATATCCCCACATACATCCACACATTTCTATAATTTTTTTTGGTATACAAACCAAAACAACATATGTAAATTTTATATACATAGGTATATAAATTTATTCACTGTATAGGTATATAATCCATTTACGTTCAAAAATTGTTGTTTTCAGTTTTTTTTTCTTCAAAATGTTGTTTACTTCTTTTTTGCCTAGTATTTGCCAAATTAAAAAGAAGAACGCATTTTCGGACAATAGGCAACGTGATGTGAATTCATATTGGGGATTCTTCACATGAGGGTACAGCAAATGTTTTTAATTTTGGGTAGGATTTTAATTGAAAAAAAAAACATGTAAAATTTTTTATTTTCTATGAAGTTGGGCGCCAAATTCAGCCGTGCTGACAATTAAAATTATAACCAAGTTGACTGTCCATAACATACCAAAAAATTGGGGATTGAGTAAAAAAGATGGTCTACCAAAATATTAAATTCAAGTCCATTTAGTTGAGAGCTTGAATGGTATTAGGGGACACTGTCATGAAAGCCATTACAAACCCCGTATCTATGTTGAACTGTTTTTATGAGGATATGTTCTACCAATCAAGATTTCAAAGAATATTTCGTCTCCTCCATCTTAGAGTGAAAGGTATAAAATGTACATTTTTTAGATTCTTTTTAAAATTATTATTAAAAATTCAGACTTTTGGTCTTCAAACGGCCAATGACACCATCACACGCTGCCCGAATGTTGCTCTGCGGTATTTTGACCCATTCCCGGCGAAGCGCTTGAGGTCATCGACACTTTAGTATTTTTTAGTGCGAACCTTGCTTTCAAAAATACTCCGGACACAATAGTCGAACGGATTGGTATCCAGAGATTTTGGTGGTCATTGTGCGCTGGAAATGAAGCGAGGAACCTCTTTGTCAGGTAAAAACGATCATTTTGTTGTTGTTTACAAACTGCTGGATAACGAATGTTTTCTCATCGGAGAATACCAAAATCGACAGTTCAACACTTTTGGCCAAGCGAAGCAACTCATTAGCTCTTTTGAGTCTATTTTTTCTTTCTGTTGCGGTGTAAGTCCTTGCACTTTTTGGAATTTCAATGGCTTCACCCGAACTCATTTTTCAATATTTTCCGATTGGAACATTTCGATACGTTCAGCTCACAAGCCATTTTTCGGCCATTGCGACGCGGGTTTCGATCAAGCCGATTCTTTACTTTTGGAACCATTTCTGCTGATGTTGCTGTTTTCTTCCGTCCACTTCCTTGACGTCGGTACTGGCTACGCTACCAGTATCACGGTTACGAGCGATGGTACGAGACACAAACGATTTGTCCACATTTAAATGCTGGAGTGGTCTAACGATAGCCACCTGTGGGTTTCCAGCCAAATATAAAGAAAGAACTATCACGCTTTTCTGGAAAATTCTGACTAATTGCTTTTGTCCGCTTGTAAACAATATAATGAGCTGTCACTGGAATAATTTTAACAGCTGTCGAACGAATGGCTTAGAAATGACAGCAGTCTTAAATTGGTTGAAATTTTTTCATCTCACCCTGTATATATTCTTGATAAAATTCTATGTCGATTTAGCGATGTCTGTCTATAGAAATCACTCTAGCTTGCGGACGAAATGAAGTAGGCTGATAAAATTTTACTCAACTGTATATTATGTCTGCAGGACTTTTGGTATTGAAAATCCACAATCTAGGCTCTAATAAATCTCTGGCTTTTTTTCTTTTATTCTTAGAAATTTATTTGAAAACTCTGCTTACATCGACGTTAGTGGTTCTGCAAATCCTTGAGTAAATATTTTTATAAAATATAGATTTTTTTAAACATAACATTTTTGTGACTCTTGTTATTTTTCAAAAAAAATTCCTTAAAAAACTTACGTTTGTGACTCTTAAATACTTCGAATTTTTTTCTTAAAATCCACGATCTATACTCTAAAATTTCTCAGTAACACTTTATTCTACTCTTAAAAATTTCTTTGAAAACTATCCTTACATTATCGACGTTATTGGTTCTGAAAATCGTTAACAAAGTATTTTTATAAAATCCAAATTTGTGGCTCTGCAAATAAGAGATTCAAAGGATGGCAGAAATTAATTTCTCCATTCAAACATCATTAGAATAATAGGCATTTTCATATGATGTACAAATATTGAGAACATATCTTGTAATTTATAATGTTGTAACTTCCATTTTACTATTATTTGAAGAAAATCTCAAGATTTTTTTCTTACTAAGAAGTCTTCCATTTGAAAATTTATTTATAATCTACTTTCTATTAAAAAACGTTTTTTTTTGGAATTATTGTTGTTAATCTATAGTCTAGAATATCTCCTCGTAACCCTAAAATACCTCTTCATTTACATACATTTAGGTTTATTAATAATAATTAGGTATAAACTATTCTAACTCTAGTTTTAGCACGTACAAATCTTAAAGGTTATTTAAACAAAGGACGGAAAGTTTTCAGCCAAACCTTTCTATTATCATGTGATATAGCAACATTTGTTAGTATGGGTAGTAGGAACAACTCTAGTTTAGTAAAAACTCTTAGATTTTTTCGAAATTTTTTCCAGAGGTAGGTATTTTTACCCTGATCCCGGGAAACTATTTTTTTCTTGGGGGACGGACCCGGGACCCCAGATTTTTGACCCAAAAGTCCGGTATCAAGACCCCGCCTGGACCCGGATCCACTTACCCGATATAGACAATATGGGTATCGATTGAAAGCTTATGGAAATACCTATCCAACAAGTGGTCACATGAAGGGGTAAGTTTTCATGGTTCGGAAGTTATAGTCAAATTATCGATTTTTTGGACCCGGATTTTTTATGAAACCCCCAAAAAGTCAAAAAAGGGCCCATTATGGGGGTCAACAAAATTGTTTCCAAATTATAGCTGACACTCTTACCTTTCCAAAATGCTACAATTTGTGCTAATACCTTTTTCGGTTCCAGAGATATGGGTCTTTTCATCCGCATAACCCGATTCTAACCAGTTCATTAAAATTATGTTTTTAATAAAAAAAGTGTTTATTTCGCGTAGCAGTCGTCGGAATAACAAAAGTTTTCTAAATTTGGCACTTTTTGTAAATAGCCGGCCTTCGGCCGGGGCTTGAGATTTTCACCTATGGGTATGTCCGACCCCGGCTAACGCGAACATAAGGTTCATAATTTCGGCACTCTTTGTAAATAGCCGGCCTTCGGCCGGGGCTTGAGATTTTCTCCTCTGGGTATGTCCTACACCGGCTAACGCGAACCAAAGTTTTCTAAATTGGATACCTTTTGTAAGTAGCCGGCCTTCGGCCGGGGCTTGAGATTTTCTCCTCTGGGTATGTCCTAAACCGGCTAACGCGAACCAAAGTTTTCTAAATTTGACACTTTTTGTATATAGCCGGCCTTCGGCCGGAGCTTGAGATTTTCTCCTCTGGGTATGTCCCACACCGGCTAACGCGAACCAAAGTTTTCTAAATTTGACACTTTTTGTAAATAGCCGGCCTTCGACCGGGGCTTGAGATTTTCTTCTCTGGGTATGTCCCACACCGGCTAACGCGAACCAAAGTTTTCTAAATTGGATACCTTTTGTAAGTAGCCGGCCTTCGGCCGGGGCTTGAGATTTTCTCCTCTGGGTATGTCCTACACCGGCTAACGCGAACCAAAGATTTCTGAATTTCATTCTTACGCAAAATATACCTTTTTTATTGAAAACATAGTTTTAATGAACTGGTTAGAATCGGGTTATGCGGATGGAAAGACCCATATCTCTGGACTCAGTAAAGGTATTAGCACAAATTGAACCTTTTTGGAAAGGTAAGAGTGTCAGCTATAATTTGGAAACAATTTTGTTGACCCCCATAATGGGCCCTTTTTTGACTTTTTGGGGGTTTCATAAAAAATCCGGGTCCAAAAAATCGATAATTTGACTATAACTTCCGAACCATGAAAACTTACCCCATCATGTGACCACTTGTTGGATAGGTATTTTCATAAGCTTTCCAACGATACCCATATTGTCTATATCGGGTAAGTGGATCCGGGTCTAGTAGGGGTCTCGAACCCGGACTTTCGGGTCAAAAATCTGGGGTCCCAGGTCCGTCCCCCAAGAAAAAAATAGTTTCCCGGGATCATGGTTAAAATACCTACCACTGAAAAAATTTTCGAAAAAATTGAAGAGTTTTTACTAAACTAGAGTTAAGCCGGGTAGTATAGCGCATACACTCTACCTTGTCAGACCATATACAATTCATATCCAAAAAAAACATAATTGTTTGTTTATATACACATTTGTATTTCGCTTTTTTTCTAACATAACTCCATCACATATTATTTTCGGTTTTTAGCCTTTACAAATAACACTCTTAAAATTATAAATTAAAAAAAGGTGTGGGATTTGGGTGGACTGGAATACATTATTAATATTTTTTTTAGTTTTTGTTTTCTATATTTAGCAGATAAAATACGCCTCCTTCATAGTTAAAACACTTTATGGCCGATCACAACAATCAGGTGCCACAAAAACTCCAGAATTTATTCTTCAACATGACCACCATGAAGAGTATGCCCACCGCAGCTGTAAACACTTCAATGCTAATTATTTTCGATTCCACAATGACATTGAGCATATTTGATATAGATTCACTACGAAGTTCATTTCCACAGCAATCATTCATTTTGTTTCTCTGTCTTTGGGTCCCCTTTATTATTTGTAGGAAGGAAATGCTGGTGCTGGCAAGAATAGTCTGCAACGGGGTAACAAAAGTTAGACACACAATAGCAACAATACAAAAATAACATGTAAATACCTTTCAAATGTGTAAAATCCCTTTAATATTCTAAACTTCTTTGTTGTTATTATGATATCATTTGGTTTTTGTTCTTGTAATGTAACTAGGCAGACAATGTCATTTAACACAGGGTGTCTCATAGATGTAAAGAAAGGCGAAGTGAGCTGTGTTTAGTTTGTTTTTCTGCAACAGGGTTACCAAGTGATTTATAATTATTTAGTCATTATTGGCGTTGTTTACAAAAATTTCATCATTGCAGCAGTAGTAAGGGGGAAATGTAATAAATATGAACAATATAATGGATATCATATCAAAATAGCAGCTAAAACATGATAATTTTGCTTGAATACTTCAAAGCCTTGGGATTGGTCGTCATTTGCGTTTACACATTGTTCAATAAGAAAGGTTGTTCAACTTCAAAAAAATGTCCACAAAAATACAACTCTTTACCGGAGTTTTAAGCCATGTTTACGATTGGCCTTTTTGTAGGGTTAACCTACTTTAAAAGGGTTTATTTGAAGTATAAATAATGGATATGACAATTATAATCCAAATCCAGTGGGTTAACCCATTTATATGTAAACGTACTGTTATATTGTCAAATCAAATTTTACTGAAAAAAAAATAATAAAATTAAAAGAAAAAATGTATTTAAGAGGGAGCTTTATCCTAACTTTTGTAATCACGTCATGCGTTTATATAAGTTGTGTCCGGGAACCTGCAATATACACTACTTCGACATAGAGTTCCAAGTTCCAAAAATAACCCTTTTTTACTTTGCTATTTCTAAAGCAATTTTTTTTTGTTTTTGTATTACACAACAAAATATTCTCGGCAGATGGATCCATACTTCCCAAAATATAGGGATCCAAAGTTCCAAAACAAAGGGCTTGAGATTTTCTCCTCTGAGGAATGTCCAACACCTGCTTTGCGAACCAAAAGTTTTTCAAGTATCCGGACTCAATTTGTTCCAGGACTGTAAATTGAATGGTCTTCCTTGCTTTGAGCTTTTTCCGCAGAGACTTTTAAAAGGTTCTCTGTAGACTGAAAGAATGGTACATTAAAAGGCCTTCGTCTATAAAAGACCTATATTTAGAAGGATGTCCTAAACACTTTGGAATAAATTTGGATGTATTTTCCATGTCAAAGGTTACTCTAAAGCCTTTTGTTTTAATACAACATTGAAGGAGACTTTGTTTATGGAAAGGACTTTAAATTAAATGGTCTTTCCTTAGAGATGGTCTGAGGAAGGGACTTTTTAGAAGGACCCTGTTCACAGATGGGGTCGCTTAAACTTGAAATATAGATGCATTAAAGGAGTTGAGAAGATCTTCTACCTCAAAACTGTTGTTTTAACACCTTCAATTGGTTCATTTAAAATCTCGTATGATCTTCTAGCTTTAGAAGTGAATTAAAAGGCATTGTTTCATTTCTATGGAAGGATAAGACCACCCTTCTATTGAAGGGAACTTGGTGTAGGCTTCCTTTTATAGAAGACACTTAACAATAAGAAATTCCTTCTGCCTTTGGAAGGGACTTTTCAAATGACTTCTGTCTTTAGAAAGTCTTTGAATGATATTCTTGCCTTAGAAGTCTTTCTGTTCATGTAAGGGATATTTAATAGGATTTTGAACAATAGCATGAGCATATGGTCTTTAACTTTCGATTTTGATCATCGGTCTATCAATGGGATTTTCAATTTTTTTATCCATAAAACTGGCTCATCACGCCATGGAACTCATTAAATAATTGAAACAAAAAATTCATAGGAATCGTTTCAAACATGTCCTGTCCACAGAAGGCATTGCTTAAGGCGCCTGTCCCCACTATGCAGGAAAAAACCTCCGGTCCATATAAAGAAGTTTGGTCTCCTATCTACAGAAGCATCTTTTTGGGGTTTCTTTCTTTGGAATATACCTTCTGTCAAACAAAGTTACCTTTAAGCGATCTTGTCTAATGAAATCGTATTCTTTAATGAGCATTGAAGACATTTAAAAAAATGTTCTTTTTAAAATGTTTCCGCCTCTCAACCGAGTTTTTCTTTTTTTTTTTTGATCCAACCTTTTGCCAGTTAGGTTTTTGTTTTTTTTATTTTATTTTTAAAATTAAACTATCGGGAGATGAATTCTATAGTACAATGTTTTTATTCATCATTGGCGAATTCAGCTGGGTTCTTGCGGGTCAAGTGGTGATGCTCGGCCTCAACCATGTTGTAAATCAAGTAGCCAATAATGAAGGCTGAAATAACAAACAAAATATCAATATATATTTCATTTATTATAACATTGCATAAAACTTACGTGGAGCTACAGTGAATACATTTGAGCGGACACGGCGGAAAATGTTGGGCAGACCATGGCTGATGGCACCAGCAAAGGCGCGTTGCTCGAAGGGAGAAATTTTGTATGTGACAATACCATGGACCTTGGCAAGGTTACCAAAATGTTGGCCATTGAGAATGTTGGTTAGACGCATCTTGGATTTTGTGGTATTTCAAAAGTTTCTGGAAAGGAAAAGAAAAAATAACAACATTAATATACGAATTACAAAAACAAATGATAGAGTAAATCAACATTGAAGGTGGGACACCCACTCATCACAGTCATCATCAAGACAATAGACAAAATAAAATTTGCACAAAAATACATATTGTAAATATAAACATTTTTGGAGTTTGTAGTTATCTTTGTTAACTCCCTTCCTGAACTTTTATTCACAATTCTAGTGAGTTTTGCTGGTTAAATTGCACTTCTACACTTGGGGTTATGTAATTTTTTTGCCACAAAAAATTTCTTCGTTCTTCTTGGCTTTTGGACCGTTCTTGTTACGCTTCTGTTGCCAAAATACATTCATAATTGCATATCGATGCCCTTTTTATTAATTATTCTATGCAATCGTAACAGTTTTACCTTGAAAAGATCACAATTTTACCTTTAGAGGGGAGAGAAAGAAAAACTCACAAAATTTCACAGCACAATCCTTCGCACACGGCCTGTGGTAGTACAACAATAAAGATATTTTATACAGTTGACAGCTGTCATTTGACAACCGGGGGGAAAACAGGGTGCTTCAGAAACTGGATTTGTTGCTCATAGATTTACAGTTAGTGTAGACGTAAGGTGGTCGTAACGTAGTCATTGGAATTACTTCAAGGGGAAGTGGTAGAATTATGAAAGTAATATTAAACAAAGGTATGCTTATTTATTTTATTTCAAAATTGCTCTGTTCTAAACATTGTAGAAGAATACAGGTATTCGCATCGACACAGCTGCTGAGACAATGAACAGTCAAATCAATTTTTGGAAGTAAAATATTTGAATGAAAAATTATTCAAATTTGCAAAACATTTAAAAAAATGCATATCATATCTACTTCTGGTCAGCGTCGCATAGGAAAACAAACGCAAAAGTACTTATTTTTGAAAAAAATCGTTTTTAAAATTTTGACACATCAATTTTCTCTAGCGTTGAAGCATCTACCTGTATGAAGCATCTACCATGTAAATACAATCCTGAATTTTATCCGGCAAAAAGAGTTTAATTCATCAATAGGTGATTTGAATTTTCGGCGTACTTTTCGATTAGATATACGCCACGCGACTGTAACGCAAATTTAATTTCATATATTATCAGAAAAAAACCAATACCTTTGAATAAATTATATTTTTCCGATAAAAATAGGGCTCGCTGTGATCGAAAAATTCCGTATGTTCTATACTCATGTATTTCATAACTGAAATGTGTTCCATGTATCACAAGATATGTACAACTTCAACGTATGGAAAATTTGACACTATATACAGGGTGATATAAAAAACTGTAACGAAGTCAAACGCCATAATTTTTAATTTTTTTAAATTTTTCTAAATGAAAGCAAAAATTTCGTAAATAGCATCAAATTTTGGAATAAGTTAAGATTTGGTTACCTTTTTCACGAATTGTGGCCTTCAAACGGCAAATGAAACTGCCATGCGCTGCCCGAATGTTGCTCTGTGGTGTTTTGGCCCATTGCCGGCGAAGCGCTTGCTTGAGGCGATCGATACTTTGGTATTTTTTAGTGCCAACCTTGCTTTCCAAAATACTTCAGAAACAATAGTCCAACGGATTGGTATCCGAAGATATTGGGAGGCCATTGTGCGCTGGAAATGAAGCGAGAAACCTCATTTTGTAACCATTCTTGGGTGGCGCGTGCTGAGTCCTGTTGGAATCCACAAGGTCTGCGGCAAAAATTTTTACGTGCGCAAGGCTTTAATACACCCTCCAGAATATTTCCGCGATAATATTCGGCATTTATTCTGATGCCACAGTCGATTAATGCGAGCGCAGAGCGACCATCGGCTGTTATGGAGGCCCACAACATCACTATGGCCGCCGCTTCCATTCTCGTGGCCAACCGAAGGTGCACATTGTCAGCTGACCTCTTTGTAAACATTTGGACCTCTTCGTTCTTTTACGATGAATCCAGCCGAAAGCCAGTCAAAAAGTCTTAGGCTGGAAATACATAAAGAGCATATTTGGCTGAGTCATCGGCTGACTTCTTCGTAGATGAACAAAGGAGTTTTAGGTTGACTTAGTTCGATTTTGGCCCTGGGCTCCTTTGTTCATTTCCGAAGAAGCCAGACGATGACTTAAGCCAGCCAGATAAGCGCTTTATGTATTTCCAGCTTTAAGGTGAGAATACACACTTATTTGACTGGATGTCTTCTTCGGAAAATAACAAAGGATCGTGGGACCAAAGTCGAACTAAGTCAACCTAATACTCCTTTGTTCATCTACGAAGAAGCCAGCTGATGACTTAAGGTGGAAATACATAGCGCTTATCTAGCTGGCTTAAGTCATCGGCTGGCATCTTCGGAAATTAACAAAGGAGCCTGGTGCCAAAATCGAACTAGGTCAACCTAAAACTCCTTTGTTCATTTACGAAGAAGCCAGCTGATGACTTAAGCCAGCCAAATATGCGCTTTATGTATTTCCAGCCTTAGAGTGCAAGTAAATAAAAAACTTGAAGTCATGGCTAGGCATATTAATGTCAAATTACAATGGGAAACGACGGTTAGATTTTAGTGCGGCTCTGTAATCCCTTTATGAAATGTCACAAAATATGCCTAGCCATGACTACAAGCTTTTTATGTACTTGCACCTTTAAGGTGAGAATACATAAAACACTTATTTGACTGAACGTCTTCTTCGGAAATGAACAAAGGAGCCAAGGGCCAAAATCGAACTAAGTCAACCTAAAACTCCTTTGTTCATCTACGAAGAAGCCAGCTGATGACTTAAGCCAGCCAAATATGCGCTTTATGTGTTTCCACCCTTAAGCCAGTCAAATGAGCGTTTTATGTATTCTCGCCTTAAAGCGGAGAGAACATAAAAGCCTTTTTCGACTGGCTTATGTCATCGGCTGGCTTCTTCGTAAAAGAAAAAGAAGTTTTAGGTTGATTTAGTTCGATTTTGGTCCATTATTATAATTGTTCACCCTACGAGTCATTGTTCTTTTACGAAAAAGCCATCCGTCAACTTAAACCAGTAAACGTATATCTCCCCTCAAAAGATCTAGACACTTCAAGTTCTCAGTATAATAACACATTTTATTAAAATATTTATTTTTTCATTATTTATTTTTACAACTAAATTAACCTAATTATTGCTGAAAAGTCACAACTGTCTTTGCCACTTAAAAAAATATACAAATTTGAGATGAGATAACAATAATATACACATGTTTATATGGGCTATGTTTGTCGGTCTGTCTGTCTGTCTGTCGATATGTATGTCAATATAGGGACTAATATAATCGAGTTATAAAAACAACACAAAAATGCTAAATTCATAATAAAAAAAAGGACTTAGGTCATTTCTCAATAAAAAAAAAACAATCTACAAACAATGGCAACCATTTAGAAACAATAAACAAAGGTCCAATACAGGCAATTGAAACCGAGGAACATCAGGGGAAATAGGAAACGTGAACGTCGATCTATCCACATGGCAATTTCTTGGGGTGTCATGGTCGTGAAGGTGGTGTTTTCGCCAGTCTTGTTATCCTTGTTGTTGTCGTCCATGTTGATGACATGGCCGGTGCTATTCGGATTGCTGGCAATGGAAACGGTGTCAGCCGATTGGGTGGTTATTATGGGCAAGTTCTGCAATTAAAAAACAATATATATATTTAATAATCCCATTCACTTCTTGACGGAGAACTCCCACTTACATGCACTGTCAAATAGTTATTGAATCCCGGATTAACATTTCCGTTCATAACACTCTCCGTACTCGACACAATATTATCTAAACTGGAACAGGATCTCGTCCTCGATTGATTATTTAAACCCATCTCCCGACGTGCTGGCCTTGGTGTTAGCGTAGACTTAATAATATATTTACTATTGACTTTTTTCAATTCGATATTCTCCTTTCGCCGCCAAATTGTATTCACAAAGGCAAACTCAACCAAACTGCCGAAAATGAAGAACGTACAACCCAAGAACCAAACTTCAGATACCTTAATGTAACTGACTTTGGGTAGGGTTTTACTTTGCGACGAAGAGAGCGTGATGAATGACAACATGGTACTGGTACCTAAAGAATGGGGAGATTAGGGATTAGTAGTTGGAATTTTGTAGGAAATCTCGAATGGTCTTACCCAACATAATGCGCGGTGGTGATGCATCTGCCTGCAACCAAAACGATACCCATGATATGGCCACAATCATCATGGAGGGCAAAAAGTAATCCATTAAATAGAAACCGATTTCACGATTTAGGTGCACGGTAAAACTCAGGGAACTGTAATTGCCATCTGAAAGTATAAAAGAGGACGGATTTGTAAAATTAAGGAATAGAAGAAATAATTTTGCAAAATTTCAAACTAAAGGTGGGAATGCATAAAGGACTTAAGCTGGGATTACATAAAGCGCTTATTTGGCTGGCTTAAGTCATCGGCTGGCTTCTTCGGAAATGAACAAAGGAGCCTAGGGTCAAAATCGAACTAGGTCAACCTAAAACTCCTTTGTTCATTTACGAAGAAGCCAGCCGATGACTTAAGCCAGCCAAATATGCGCTTTATGTATTTCCAGCCTTAGGGTGGAAATATATAAAGCGCAGATTTTGCTGGCTTCTTCGTAGATGAACAAAGGAGTTTTAGGTTGACTTAAGCTGGGAATACATAAAGCGCTTATTTGGCTGGCTTAAGTCATCGGCTGGCTTATTCGGAAATGAACAGAGGAGCCCAGGGCCAAAATCGAACTAGGTTAACCTAAAACTCCTTTGTTCATTTACGAAGAAGCCAGCCAAATATGCGCTTTATGTATTTCCAGCCTTAGTTCTATTTTGGCCCTAAGCTTTTCTGTTAATTTCCGAAGAAGCCAGCCAGATAAGCGCTTTATGTATTCCCACCTTTAGTTGGCTGGCTTAAGTCATCGCCTGGCTTCTTCGTAGAGGAATAAAGGAGTTTTAGGTTGACATAGTTCGATTTTGGCCCTAGGCTCCTTTGTTCATTTCCAGCCAGCTGATGACTTAAGCCAGCCAAATAAACGCTTTATGTATTTCCACCTTAATACCGAAACCATGGTAGAATTAAGAAGGTAAAGTCATGCAATCATATGTTTACAATTTTCATTGTCAGAACTTATATATTTATAAATCTATTGTATACACAGAAATCAGAGATGGGAACCTTATTTTTTTATTCATTGAAATTTGACAAGGTAAATTACAGAAAATTCAGAGATGGATAGTCTTATTTGAAATGTCTTTACCTTCTTAATTTTACCATTACCGAAACCATGGTATAATTAAGAAGAACTTCATTTCAAATAAGCATATCCAGCTCTGCATTTTCTTTAAATTAAGGTGGGAATACATAAAGCGCTTATTTGGCTGGCTTCTTCGAAAATTAACAAAGGAGCCTAGGGCCAAACTCGAACTTAGTCAACCTAAAACTCCTTTATTCCTCTACGAAGAAGCCAGCCGATGACTTAAGCCAGCCAAATAAGCGTTTTATGTATTCCCACCCCTTACTTTTCCCAATTGAACTGAATGGAAAATAGGACCCCATCTCAGTTTCGTGTATAAAAAATGGACTTATGTATATACAACGTGAGATGAAAAACCTGCAACCAACTTCAGACTATTGTCATTTCTAAGCCACTCGTCTGACAGCTGATAAAATTATTCCAGTGACAGCTCATTATATTGTTTACAAGCGTACAAAAGCATTTTGGTGAGAATTACCCAGAAAAAAAGTTATTCGTGATGGAATTCAATCGCGATAGTATGATTTCTTTATATTTGGCTGGATAACCACAAGTGGCTATAATTAGAGCACTTCAGCATTTAAATGGGAATAAATCTTTTGTATCTCGTACCATCGCTGGTTACCGTGATACTGGTAGCGTAGCCCGACATATGTCAAGAGAGTGGACGAAAGAAAACAGCAACATCAGCAGAAATGGTTCGAAAAGTAAAAAAGCGACTTGATCGAAACCCGCGTCTCGTCGCAATATTCCATTCGGCAAATATTGAAAAATGAGTTCGGGGTAAAGCCATTGAAATTCAAAAAAGTGCAAGAACCTACACCGCAACAAAAAGAAATTAGACTCAAATGAGCTAAAGAGTTGCTTGGCTTGGCCGAAAGTGGTGAACTGGCGAATCTGGTTTTCTCCGATGAGGAAACATTCGTTGTCCAGCAGTTTGTAGACAAACAAAATGGTCGTGGTTACTTGCCAAAGAGGTCAGCTGAAAATGTGCACCTTCGGTTGGCCACCAGAACTCAAGCGACGGCTATGGTGATGGTGTGGGCCGCCATAACAGCCGATGGTTGCTCTCCGCTCATATTAATCGACAGTGGCATCAGAATAAATGCCGAATATTATTTCGAAAATATTCTGGAGGGTGTATTAAAGCCTTGGGCACGCAAACATTTTGGCCGCAGACCTTGGACATTCCAACAGGACTCAGCACCATCGCACTCAACAGGCGCCACCCAAGAATGGTTACAAAATTAGATTCCTCGCTTCATTTGCAGCGCACAATGGCCACCAAAATCTCCGGATACCAATCCCTTGGACTATTATGTTCGGAGTATTTTGAAAAGCAAGGTTGGCACTAAAAAATACCAAAGTGTCGATCACCTTAAGTAAGCGCTTCGCTGGGAATGGGTCGAAATAAAACAGAGCAACATTCGGGCAGCGTGTGACGGTTTCATTGGCCGTTAGAAGGTTATAATTCATGCCAAAAGTGACCAATTCGAACAAATCTAAACTTATTTTAAAATTTGATGCTATTTCCGATATTTTTTGCTTTCATTTTACAAAATTTAAAAAAAAATGTAAAAATTATGGCGTTTGACTTTGACGCAGTTTTTTTTTTTATTTCATTCCCTTAAATATGCAGATATATAGAATACATTTTTTTATTCGTAATAGATTAAAGGTCAAACAGCACTATCACAACACATGAAAGAAAGGCAACGAACAGCTGATTTGGCAAACGTTAATGTCCCACATAGAGTAAAGAAAAAAACACAAAATGTAAAAGAAGACAAAGATAATACTAGAGATTTGTTCCGATTTACAATATCCACTCGATCTCAAATGTCAATGCTAATACAGACGTCAAGTAATATTGACTGGATTTATGAAATGTCAAACTTATTTGACAAACGTCTATGTCTTCGATAAATAGAAGATAGAAATCAAAAGATACACACTAGAAAGCCTATGAATACGAGAGAAGATATCAACATCGATAAATGCAAAAGAAGACAAAGATAAAACTAGAGGTCATTAAGATTTATGAAATCCACTCGATCTCAAATGTCGATGCTATAGTGTAAACGTCAAATAATATTTACTGGATTTATGAAACGTCAAACTTATTTGGCAAACGTCAATATCTTAGAAAAGGAAAAGAAAGAAATCAAAACACTAGAAAGTCTATGAATACAACGAAATATATCAAAATCGATAAACACAAAATAAGACAAAGATAAAGGTTTGTTAAGATTTATGAATTCCACTCGATATTAAATGTCATTTCCATAGTGTAAACCTTAAATAATATTTACTGGATTTATGAAACGTCAAACTTATTTGAGAAAATTCAATATGTTAGACAAAGAGAAGAAAGAAATAAAAATATACCCACTAGAAGGCCCATGAATACAACGGAAGATAACAAATTCGAAAAATGCAAAAGAAGACAAAGATAAAACTAGAGGTTCATTAAGATTTATGAAATCCACTCGATCTCAAATGTCGATGCTATAGTGTAAACGTCAAATAATATTCACTGGATTTATGAAACGTCAAACTTATTTGACAAACGTCAATGTCTTCGATAAAGAGAAGAAAGAAATCAAAAGATACACACTAGAAGGCCCATGAATACAACTGAAGGTAGACAAATCTATAAATTCAAAAGAAGACCAAGATAATACTAGAGATTCGTTAAGATTTATGAAATCCACTCGATCTCTAGTGCCATTTCCATAGTATAAACGTCAAATAATCTTTACTGGATTTATGATTTCGATTTGCGGTAAAGGTTATGACCCACACGCACCGATATCGATGCGCTCAGTAAATGTACAAGACCACTTGAATGAAATGTCAAGCAGCCCTGCAATGTTCCCCATTCAATATTAGAATAGATAAGAATAATTGTGTGATTGCGATTAGGTTAACTTAGATTCGTTTTTGTAGTACTTAAGAAACATAGTTTTTAAATAAAAAACCATCCGAATAAAGAATATTGTTGACAATCGAAGAGGGAGATTGGACTCTATTTTAATTTACATCAGTCGATGACTTAAGGTGAGAGTACATGAAACGCTTTTCTAACTGGCTTAAGTCATCGGCTGGCTTCTTCGGAAAATAACAAAGATTTTGGCCCTACGCTCCATCTTTTTTTTAAGAAGAAACCAGTCAAAAAAGTCTTTTATGTGCTTTCACTCGATTAAGGTGAGGATACATAAAACGCTTTATGGCTGACTGGCTTAAGTCATCGGTTGGCTTCTTCGTAAAAGAAAAAAAAGCATAGGGCCAAAATCGAAATAATTCAACCTAAAACTCCTTCTTCTTCTTTGTTCTTTTCCAAAAAAGCCAGCCGATGACTTAAGCCAGCCATATACACATACATGTACACATAGAAGTCTGGCTGATGTCTTAAAAGGCTTCTTCGTAAAAGAACAAAGGAAGAAAAATTTTGGGCCGAAATTGAACTAAGTCAACCTAAAAATCGTTTCTTTTTTTCCGAAGAAGCCAGTCGATGACTTAAGGTGAGAATACATAAAACGTTTTTTTAACTGGCTTCAGTCATCTGCTGGCTTCTTTGTAAAAATGGAGCGTATGGCCAAAATCGGACTCCTACTCCTCCTTTGTTCATTTTCGAAGAAGCCAGCCAAATAAGCGCTTTAGGTATTCCCACCTTTAGGCAGGACATGGACAAATGTCTGGGCAGGGAAGACAACAGTCGAACGGACATCCTCGTGAAGTTGTCCATTTCGAGAGAGAAATCTATCCACAAAAAGATCTGGATAATAGAAGAAATTTATTGACACGAGTGTCTGTAGCCGAATGTCTATTGGTGCCACTTTTTTCTCAGAATTGATTATCCGCAAGTGTTTTTATAGATTATCCAATTATCTGATTTATATTTCTTATCGCAACCTCCCTTCGCGAAGTAAATCAATTTGTTCCTCTCAAAAACAAAGCTATTCAAATATCATTTCATAATGCCGACAAAATTTAATAATTTCTCTTCCGCCTCAATTAACAGATTTTCATTTTTAATTAATTAACTTGAAAGCGATTTCCGTCTACAACGTTATCTTATTTTTTTTTTTGTTCTTCACTCCCCTCTTTTTGTTTTGTTTCGTATCTTCTATTTCGTACTTACAGAAAGCCCCATGACGTAAGTGAATGTCATTCGAATTGACAATGGTCTCGTTGTACCAATAACGCTGCATGTTGTATTCGGTTAGCCGCATATCAGGATCGAACGATATCGGTGTTTTATCTTCCCAGTGCAGCGTCAGTTCGGTTGTATTGTACATCCCTGGCGCAAGAGCAAAAAGAATTTAATTAATTTAAAATAATAATCGAAAATCTGAAAAAAAACACTAAGTTCATTCCACCTACAACTTTCAAGAACTGTCGAACATGATTGCTCATCGAATGGGAATTTCTTGAAATTCATCCAACAGTAGAGGGTGGCTTGCAAACGTGTCGAGAATATCACCTGACCCTGTGGCGATATGGAGACGAGTACATCTTTTTCATCGGTACCCAAGATATTCGATTCACGTTCGTTGGCAAAGAATATGTGCGGCAACCAGAGACGTTCACTCATTTGCTTTTGGCCCAAAATGTTATCCTTGCGGGTGGGCGCGTAATTGGAGAAGGCCAGACGTTTATCGAGGAAGCTCAGCTGTAGCAGGGCATGCATTTTGAATTGTAACAAATCGGAATTGAGATTCTGCATATAGTAAATGTAAATACGGGCATTCACACGGGTTGGATAGCGCTCTTTGGTGACTAGATCGTATTCTGGCAAAAGAGAACGGGAGAGAGAGAGAGGGAGAATATTTATTATCTCTCTGGTTGATAATGACATCTCTTTCACGACTTACCTATGGGTCTTTCTAGGCGATCATAACGACAGACATGGGTTAGTCGGGTTATTAACTGTGAGGGCTGTAATGTTGTGGCATTCTCTAGCGGCGGGCATTCTTCATCAACTGTGCTTGTTCCCAGCGCTCTGGAAAAATTAAAACAACAAAAAAAAAAGAGGAAGAGAAATGAGATACAGGCGATAAAATGCAACAAAGGATAAATTTGATAAAGATTTATATGTCCCGCATAGATATAAGAAGACCTCCAGGACTTCTAAATACATATACTTTCTATGCATATACATTATATAGACATTAGAAGACCTTCAGGTCTTCTAAAGACATTAGAGTACCTCCAGGTCTTCTATAGGCATTAGAAGACCTACAGGTCTTCTATAGGCATTAGAAGACCTCCAGGTCTTCTATAGGCATTAGAAGATCTCCAGGTCTTCTATAGGCATTAGAAGATCTCCAGGTCTTCTATAGGCATTAGAAGATCTCCAGGTCTTCTATAGGCATTAGAAGACCTCCAGGTCTTCTATAGGCATTAGAAGACCTCCAGGTCTTCTATAGGCATTAGAAGACCTCCAGGTCTTCTATAGGCATTAGAAGACCTCCAGGTCTTCTATAGGCATTAGAAGACCTCCAGGTCTTCTATAGGCATTAGAAGACCTCCAGGTCTTCTATAGGCATTAGAAGACCTCCAGGTCTTCTATAGGCATTAGAAGACCTCCAGATCTTCTATAGGCTTTAGAAGACCTCCAGGTCTTCTATAGGCATTAGAAGACCTCCAGGTCTTCTATAGGCATTAGAAGACCTTCAGGTCTTCTATAAACATTAGAAGACCTCCAGGTCTTCTAAAGACATTAGTAGACCTCCAGGTCTTCTAAAGACATTAGTAGACCTCCAGGTCTTCTAAAGACATTAGTAGACCTCCAGGTCTTCTAAAGACATTAGTAGACCTCCAGATCTTCTAAAGACATTAGTAGACCTCCAGGTCTTCTAAAGACATTAGAAGACCACCAGGTCTTCTATAGGCATTAGAAGACCTCCAGGTCTTCTATAGGCATTAGAAGACCTCCAGGTCTTCTATAGGCATTAGAAGACCTCCAGGTCTTCTATAGGCATTAGAAGACCTCCAGGTCTTTTATAGGCATTAGAAGACTTCCAGGTCTTCTATAGGCATTAGAAGACCTCCAGCTCTTCTATGGGCAATAGAAGACCTCCAGCTCTTCTATGGGCAATAGAAGACCTCCAGCTCTTCTATGGGCAATAGAAGACCTCCAGCTCTTCTATGGGCAATAGAAGACCTCCAGCTCTTCTATGGGCAATAGAAGACCTCCAGCTCTTCTATGGGCAATAGAAGACCTCCAGCTCTTCTATGGGCAATAGAAGACCTCCAGCACTTCTATGGGCAATAGAAGACCTCCAGCTCTTCTATGGGCAATAGAAGACCTCCAGCTCTTCCATGGACAATAGAAGACCTCCAGGTCTTCTATGGGCAATATAAGACCTCCAGCTCTTCTATGGGCAATAGAAGACCTCCAGCTCTTCTTTAGAACATAGATTATAGATCTTCTTCAATGGTAGATCTGCTCTTATTTCCATCTACTGTTTCCATACTAGTTCAACACCCTCCCTCAACATGGTTTTAGTTATTTGAATGGCGCCCAATTGTCAAAACACTTGTTTCATCACATTACGTGTCTCATATTCTCTGCCTGTTTTTCTGCCCCTCCTTCTCAAAGTCATCCACGTGTTTTTTGTGTCTAATAGAATTGTTTACACTGCACTAATTGTTGGAAAATATATGCAATACCTTATTAAGATTACGTGACTAGGAATACCGAAACAATAACAAACAAAAACAAAATAAGAACATTTGTTAAAAATCCATAAAAATGGCGTTTTTCCATTAAATCCGTTAATAATACAGATTTTTTCAATTTTGAAATAAAAATAAACGTAAAAAGTATTGGCGTTTTTTCGTTGAACCGCATATTAGGTCTGTCTGGTTACTTTTTCTGAGAGAGTATTGGCTAGTAAGTTATTAATCAGGGAGTAAGGTAGGTTTTTTCTCTCTTATGAGAGAACTGTAAGGAAAACTGTAGTTATAAAACCGTAAAAAGTAAAGACATATAGCCCAAATAAAAACATTCAAGCAATCAGCTGATTTGTCAAAAGAAAACCATTTTTTCCGATATTAACAGAAACAAAAAACCAAAATTTCACAGAGGAAGTAGAAGAGTTGGGAGTGATTGAAAATAGAAAAACTAATAACTAAAAGAATTGTCAAAATGTTCTCCTGCTGCTTTTTTGGAACTTTTAAGACACAAAAAATTTGTTACAAATTCTTTGGTAACCAGACAAACCTATTATTTGAGTTTGTGGAATTTTGTTTTTTCTAACCTACCCTCAATATGAGTTGGATAGGTTGTGGTGTTAGCTTTGAATGACAAAAAAAACTAGCTTTAATTACTGAAGATCAAAGTCGCATTTTGAGATCATGGATTTAAAATTTGTGATTTTTGTGATACTGGGAGGCAAACTTCAAATTTTACAAATAATTACAGTAAAAATCTAGCAGATTGTAAATATATGACACGTTTACAGGCGTCTTGGAAGTTTACATCGCAACTTAGCAAAATAGAGGGGGCAAGTTCCAGCCTCTTATACAATTTTGGAATTAAAATTCCTTGTAATATTTTAGGTATATACAAGGAGAGATAAAAAAAGCAACAAAGTCAAACGCCATGATTTTTACATTTTTTTCAAATTTTATTGAATGAAATCAAAAAATGTCGGAAATAGCATTAAATTTTAGATTTGTTCGAATTGGTCACCTTTGGCACGAATTATGGCCTTCAAAAGGACAATGAAACCGTCACACGCTGACCGAATGTTGCTCTGCGGTTTTTTTGCCAATTCCCGGCGAAGCGCTTGCTTGAGGTGATCGACACTTTGGTATTTTTTAGTGGCAACCTTGCTTTCCAAAATACTCCAGACACAATAGTCCAACGGATAGGTATCCGGATATTTTGGTGGCCATTGTGCGCTGGAAATGAAGCGAGGAACCTCATTTTGTAACCATTCTTGGGTGGCGCGTGCTGAGTTCTGTTGAAATGTCCAAGGCCTGTCCAAGGTCAAGGCCAACATGTTTGCGTGCCCAAGGCTTTAATACACCCTCCAGAATATTTTCGCCATAATATTCGGTATTTATTTTGATGCTACGGTCGATTAATACGAGCGGAAAGAGACCATCGGCTGTTATGTGCGGCCCGCACCATCACCATGGCCGGCGTTTGAGTTCTGGTGGCCAACCAAAGGTGCACATTTTCAGCTGACCTCTTTGGCAAGTAAACACGAACATTTGTTCGTTTGTTTGTTTACAAACTGTTGGATAACGAATGTTTTCTCATCGGAGAAAACCAAATTCGGAAGTTCACCACTTTCGGCCAAGCGAAGCAACTCTTTAGCTCTTTTTAGTCTATTTTCTTTCTATTGCGGTGTAAGTACTTTTTGGAATTTGAATGGCTTAACCCCGAGCTCATTTTCAATATTTGCCGAATGGAATATTGCGATATGTTCAGCTCACGAGTCATTTTTCGGCCAAACTGCAACGCGGCTTTCGAGCAAGCCGCTTCTTTACTTTTCAAACCATTTCTGCTGATGGTGCTGTTTTCTTTCGTCCACTTGACGTCGGGCACAAAAGATTTATTCACATTTAAATGCTGGGGTGCCCTAATGATAGCCACTTGTGGTTTTCCAGCCAAATATAAAGAAATCACACTATCACGTTTGAATTCCATCACGAATAACTTTTTTCTGGAAAATTCTCACCAAAATGCTTTTGTACGCTTGTAAACAATATAATGAGCTGTCCCTGGATTAAGTTTAACATCTGTCGGACAAGTGGCTTAAAAATAGCAGCAGTCTGCAGTTGGTTGCAGTTTTTTCATCTCACCCTGTAGAGCTTCGAAAATTTGTAGAGAGCTTTAGATTACTTCAAGAATTATTGGTTTAAAAAATGGTCCGGTCCACCTTTTGATATAGTCGCCATATAAGGGTAACCCTGATTTCAAGTTTTTTTTGTGTTAAGGTGAGAATATATAAAACGCTTTTTTGACTGACTTAAATCATCTGCTGGCTTCTTCGTAGAGGAACAGAGGAGTTTTAGGTTTACTAAGTTCGATTTTACCCTTCGCTCCTTTGTTTTTTTCCGAAGAAGCCAGCCGAAGACTTAAGCCAGTCAAATACAGAATACATATCTCACGTTTAGTCATATTTATACCCTACACCACAAGGTGGTCAGGTTATTATGTCTCTGTGCATTTGTTTGTAACAGGCAAAAGGAAACGAGATAGACTTATAGTTCCTTTTGATGATCTGCATAGAATCACATTCCGAGTCGATTTATGCATGTCCGTCCATCCGTCCGTCTGTCCATGTATTTTTGTGAACAAAGTACAGTTCGAATTTATTGCCATATTCAGATGAAATTTTGCACAAATCATTTGCTTACCCACAGCCGTAATATGCACTCGGTAACAACGATATTCAGGTAAATATATGAAATACAGCTCAGAAATATCTTTAACAAATGTTATCCAGATCGGTTCAGATTTAGATATAGCTCCCATATATATCTTTAACCGATTTCAAATTACTTGTGCACCAAATGGGCAATGCAAGTCCGAATTTAAAAGATACAAATGCTTCGGCATATTTAGTTCTTTGAATTTTAAATTATAATTATAATCATAGCGTGTATGATTGAATTCTCCCATAAAAACTTTTAATTGTTATGCAGAGCTCTACTAAATTAGCAAAGTGATGTAGGGTAGCATAAAGACGGCCCGCCCGACTTTAAGACTTTCTTTATGGATTTCATTTAATTTCGCAAAATTTCAGTATAGGAATGTCAATATAAGTCCACGTTTTGGTACAGACCTTCTATATAAAAATACCCCTTGTGCCCATTATTGGTAGCACGTCCTTCCAAGGTCATTGGATATTACAGTTAACAACAGATAAATATGATAATTAAAAGCAACCGAAACAACAAAAGATCCAAGTAAATAAAAAAGAAACAAATAATGCCAAACAAATAAGAAAACAACAAAATTGTTTGTTGATCTGCAACCGCCATCAGCATCTTTAATTTGCTTGCCTTGGCGGTAAACCAGGCGGCAGACAAAACCTGAATCAACACAAATGACAATTGTGGTGGCAGAGAGCAAATAAAGAATTTCTCCCTCAGAGCAGCAACAGCAGCAAAAGTGTGTGAGAGAGCGAGGGAGAGAGAGAAAGGAGGGGAATTAAAACACACCGGCACAATTTGTCAACTTATTTGCATTGAAATTAAAACCCATTTTATTTGTTTAATTTAACCAAACAAACAACAGAAATGATACGAAATTAACATCATAATTGTTCGATATTAAGAGGAAATGTAAATAGAAATTAAATGGAAAATAAAAAACAACAAAAAACAAAAAACTTTGCAAAGATGTTTCGTTTGTACTTGCAGAGTATGGCGGATCACGTTTAATAATATTTGTTTAATAGGGGAATTAAACAAACAAAGGCAATATCAGCTGAATAGTTCAAATGATGGCAATTAATTAAAGAAATATTATTTGTTTTTTTTTTTTCTTCAAATTGTGACGTATAGAGCAGCAGGTCACGCATGGAGAACATATAGATTCGTGATCTGGTTCTTGTGGGGCGTATGAGTAATGTGTGGATATAGAAATGTTACGCATACGTACGATTGTCTTCAAAAGGGAGAAATGTGGTGAAATCATGGTAGCAGAATATAGGAAGACGAACCGACTCAAATGCTGGGACAATGAACTGTCAAACCAATTTTGGAATTGATAATTTTGAATGAACAAGTAAAATAGTATATGTCGGATTTGTCGACAGATGTATACCCACCGAAACTTGAGTTATGATTATTTAAACTTTTGGCCCTTTATGGGGGAGGTTCCGAAGCAGTTGGCCAATATTGACCAATTCGTATCAGACCTAAGACTGATCAAAATATTACAACGTGCCAGCTGTGGACCATATCAACTACTTTCTATACTTTATATGAAATATGGGCAAATTTTTGAAAAATGTGGAAATATGCGGGAGGTAACAAATATAGCGGATCGAATATTTTTTATCCATTTTCATACGAAATCATGAATTTCGATAAATAACTTCTTCATACCTGATATCTGGTTAAAAATAAATATTTAGATATAGCAAGCTGCAAAAAATCGCCGACTTGTTTCGGCGTGAGATGTACAAAGTCTGATTTGAATCGGATGTTAATTTCGTGTTTTATGAGATTCGTGGATATTCAAAATTTTGACTCTTTGTGGTGAAGGTACCAGAAGGAGTGGACAGATATATCCCAAATTCACAGCAGATCTTGTATTAGTAGAAATAATGGAATGTGTGTAATTTGAAGAGAACCGGATGTTTATTTCTGATTCTATGATCGTTTTGGTTATTCAAAACTTTGACCCTTTGTGGTGGAGGTACCAGAAGGACTGGTCCGATCTCTACCATCTTTACAACAGATCTTACGTTGATGGAAATATAAGCATGTGCCAAGTCTTATTTGAATCGGAAGTTAATTTCGTGTTTTATGAGATTCATGGATATTCGAAATTTTGACCCTTTGTGGGGAAGGTACCAGAAGGAAGTGGACCGATATATCCCATCTCACAGCAGATCTTGTGTTAGTAGAAATAATGTGATGTGTGTAATTTGAAGAGAACAGGATGCTTATTTCGGATTTTATGATGGTTTAGGTTATTCAAAAGTTTGACCCTTTGTGGTGAAGATACCAGAAGGACTGGTCCGATCTCTAACATATATAGAACAGATTTTGGGTTGATGGAAAGATACGGATGTGCAAAGTCTGATTCGAATCAGATGTTAATTTCGTGTTTTATGAGCTTCATGGATACTCAAAATTCTGACCCTTTGTGGGGGAGGTACCAGAAGGAGTGAACCGATATATTCCATCTTAACACCAGACTTTGGGTTAATAAAAATATTGGGATGTGTGTAATTTGAAGACAATCGAACACTTTCATCACATTTCATAAGAGTTATAATTATTCAAAACTTTGACCCTTTGTGGCGGAGGTATTTGATGGAGTGGACCGATATTGTCCATTTTCGCACTTGGCTTAGTACTGATAAAAATATTAGGATTTGCAAAGTTGGATTATCCTCTCTCTTTCTGTGCAGAAAAAAAAATATTTTTTTTTTTTTGAAAATTTCGACCTTTTGTGGGGGAGGTACCAGAAGGAGTGGACCGATATATCGCATCTTCACACCAGACCTTAAGTTAAGAAAAATATTGGAATGTGTGTAATTTGAAGACAATCGGACTCTTACCTCACATTTTATAAGTCAAATTTAATTAGTCAAATTTTGACCCTTTGTGGGGGAGATACTTGATGAAGTAGACCGATATTGTCCGTTTTCGCACCTGATCTAGCACTGATGCAAATATAAGGATTTGCAAAGTTGGAGCAAAATTGGATTATCTTTTCTCTTTCTGTGCAAAAAATATATTTCTGGAAAATTTCGACCTTTTGTGGGGGAGGTAGCAGAAGGAGTGAACCTATATATTCCATCTTAACACCAGACCTTAAGTTAATGAAAATATTGTGATGTGTGTAATTTGAAGACATTCGGACTCTTACATCACATTTTATAAGAGTTGTAATTATTCAAAATTTTGAGCCTTTGAGGGGAGGGTAATTGATGGAGTGGGCCGATATTGTAAATTTTCGCACCTGGCCTAGCACTGATGCAAATATAAGGATTTGCAAAGTTGGAGCAAAATCGGATTATCGTTTCTCATTCTGTGCAGAAAATATATATATATATATATTTTTTTTTTTTTGAAAATTTCGACCTTTTGTGGGGGAGGTACCAGAAGGAGTGGACCGATATTTCCTATCTTCGAACTCGATCTAATTTTGCCAATCATATTACGATGTACCAAGTTTGGATCAAGACGGATACTCCCTTCGAGAGTTAGCGTGCGCACCAGCCAGCCAGTCAGAGAGACAGGCAGACGGACGGACATCGCTAGGTCGACTCCGAATGTCCTAAAACGGATTTGGTCCAAAGAGACCTAGGGTCTAAAGCCTTTAAGGTGGAAATACATAAAGCGCTTATCTGGCTGGCTTAAGTCATCGGCTGGTTTCTTCGGAAATTAACAAAGGAGCCTAGGGCCAAAATCGAAATAAGTCAACCTAAAACTCCTTTGTTCATCTACGAAGAAGCCAGCCGATGACTTAAGCCAGGCAAATTTTGTACCTTTTGATACCATACTATTACACCTTTTTCTATCTATGCGATTATCATCCACTTTTCTCAAAAGATTCATAGAGGAAAATCTCTAGTCAAAGTACCTCTGCATGTAATCTTTCTAAACGTTTTCTATAAACGCTTTTATGGCTGTATTTAGCCCTTTAACTTGTATTTCCCCAAAATTAATCGATTCTTCTTAAAATTTTTCAAATGAAAATATAATCTGGAAAATATTCTCCCAATACTTACGTCATGTTCATTTGTGAGATTGTCAGGACCAGAGTTATTAGAATAACTTTGGTATAGATTTGATAAAATAAATTTGTCATTTTAAGCTGCAGGTAGGTGTGTATTGTTGATTTTTTGATTTATATTTTCAAAATTAAATTATTTAATAAACTACTACTTAATATTCTAAGATAAAAAGTTACAACGAAATTAACGAAGACATTGGGGGGTGTTTCACTTGTTTTACTTTGGTTCGTTTCGAAATGAGAGGGAGATCAAAAATTTGAAGACAAATATTCACTGAACTTCTTTTGTTGTTTCTTTTTTTTTTTTTTTTGATAACTGTGTTTTGAACTTGTTTTCTAGAAAGGCATTAAATTGATGTTTGTAATAATATTTTTTTTTATTGTTGTTATGGGTATATTTTTTTATTATCTTTTATTTTTTTTTTGTTTTTTGGTGTGAACAAAAATATTTCGCGTTTTGGAAAATTTCCTTTTAATATTTTTTTTTTTTTTGGTAGTGTTTTTTTTCAAAATTGTAAATTTCAACGCGTTCAATTCGTTTCGGCCAGTTCACCTTAGCAATGCGAATACTTTTTCTAAACTAAAACTTCTTCTGTCACATTATATCACTTTTATTGTTCTAAGATACTGATAAGAAGCTCTGTTCGTTCGCTCGTACCTTCTACGAATATTTGGCTGGCTGGTTGGTTGTCGCACACACTTATGCGCAAACAACGACGCGCCGGAGATAGACCAACGACACCGGAATATTGACTCAAGTATCTTTGTTTTGTTTGATCGTTTTGGGGGATACCGGTGTGTGGGTGCCATTGCTGCTGTGCTGGCTGCTGATATGCTTTGTTGTGTGTCATCCTCTCTCTTACTTCGATTTGTTGTTATCTTTATTTGGTTGTGTGTTAGTGTTGGATAGATCATTTGTCTGTGTGTATGGATGTTTTGGGCATTATACGAAGCAAAAAATAACACGGTTAAATATAAGAGTTCATGATCGTGAAAATGAAGGAAATGATATCTCGTTTGCATCTGTCAACGGGTGATAACAAAACATAACTCACTCCCTCTTTCTCTCTCTCTCTCTCTCCATATGATTGAAATTCAGGGATGGAATATCAATTCTTCTGTAGTAAAAGGTTTATAGGAACTATTCTGTCTTTAGGAGAACTTCAATTTGTAGAAGACCCATAGAAAATTATTGGAAGATCTCCTGTAACCATAACGTTTTACCATTAATGTTTTTCCTTTTTTCGAAAGTTCTTCAAGGTTGAGGTCTTTGTTGTTGTATTTTTTTCGTTTTCCAATATTTCGAAATTCCATGAATTTAATCTTCAGGTTTTACTTAGAAGGTATTATGATATCGCCTTATTTGGCACTGTGGTGGTGATCCAGTTAACTCATGGCAGGCTTTGCTCGGGGTCGGTCCCAACGCCGACGACATCAGTCCAAGCCGGCTAACAATGAAAAACAGAACAGAATACAAAAACATCAAAACAAACACTACATACACCGGTGATAAGGGTGCTTGGTGGAAGTCATACCCACACTTAGTCCGCCCAACATGGATCCTTTACGTCCAGTCTCCTAAATAGTAAGTGCCCCGCATTCCACTCACACTTACCACACAATTTACATCCTATATTAATCAAGAACAAGCTAATTAACACACAATCAATCAAACATAAAACATACAGGGTGAGATAAAAAAACTGCCGGCCGGGCCGAACTTTGAATACCCTCCATCATTTGGAACCAATTTGGCAATTCTCAAAAACAATAAAATCAGTTAAAAATTCTGTTAAAATCTTAAAAATACCAAATGTAGCTGTTATATTAAGGTCTATACGACGACGTGGACCTACACGGAAAATTTTCTGTTATAGGCTGTAGTATCCCTTACGAACTTCAAATACCAAATTTGAAACAATTCCGGTGAATAATGTCGCTAAAATCATCAAAATACCGAATATCGGGAGGTACTGTTATATGGGGGCTATACGAAGACTTGGACCTGCACAGACAATCTCTTGTCATAGGCTGTAGCATCCATTACGAACTTCAAATACCAAATTTGAAACAATTCCGGTGAATAATGTCGCTAAAATCATCAAAATACCGAATATCGGGAGGTACAGTTATATGGGGGCTATACGAAGATGTGGATCTACATGGCCCATTTCCAATACCAAAAGTTCTGCAGCCATAATACACATTTGAGTAAAATTTTATCAATCTACTTTAATTCGTTCGGAAGCTAGAGTGATTTCCACAGACGGATAAACGGACGGACATCGCTAAATCGACATAGAATTTTATTCTGATCAAGAATATGTATACTTTGTGGGGTCTAAAATATGTATTTCGAGGTGTTACAAACGGAATGACAAACTTAATATACCCTCCATACTATGGTGGAAGGTATAAAAATGTCGAAAATAGCATCAGATTTTAAAATAAGTTTAGATTTTTTTCGAATTGGTCATCATCACGAACTATGACCTTCAAACGGCAAATGAAACCGTCACGCGCTGTCCGGATGTTGCTCTGCGGTATTTTGGTCCATTCTCGGCGAAGCGCTTGTTTGAGGTGATCGACACTTTGGTATTTTTTTTAGTGGCAACCTTGCTTTCCAAAATACTGAATACAAAATACAATTGTCCAACGGATTGGTATCCGGAGATTTTGGTGGCCATTGTGCGCTGGCCTGTCCTGTTGGAATGTCCAAGGTCTGTGGCCGAAATGTTTGGGTGCCCAAGGCTTTAATACATCCTCCAGAATATTTTCGCGATAGTATTCGGCATTTATTCTGATGCCAGGGTCGATTAATACGAGCGAAGAGCGACCATCGGCTGTTATGGCGACCCACACCATCACCATGGGTGTCGCTTGAATTTTGGTGGCCAACCGAAGATCCACATTTTCAGCTGACCTCTTTGGCAAGTAAACACGATCATTTCGTTTTACAAACTCCTGGACAACAAACGAATGTTTTCTCATCGGAGAGAGCGAAAACCAAATTCGCCAGTTCACCACTTTCGGCCAAGCGAAGCAACTCTTTGGCTCTTTTGAGTCAATTTTCTTTCTGTTGCGGTGTAAGTTCTTGCAATTTTTGGGAATTTCAATGGCTTTACCCCGAGTTCATTTTTCAATATTTGCCGAATGGAATATTGCAATATGTTCAGCTCACAAGCCATTTTTCCATCCCTGACACAGTATTTACGCCCACCCAAAATGTGTTGGGATTCCCCTACCCTGGCTCACCTTCTATGCATATCATAACTGAGTTATGTTTTTCGTTTTTTCTTTGAAAAGAGATCTTGATCTGTGTATGTTGTCGTGTCAAAATATTGTTTGGTAATTAGTAAGCATTTTCGAATCAAAACGAAAATCTCCCATTGCCAAGTTCAAGAGCGTAAAGTGCCCTTAACTTTACACCGGTATATAAAAGTACTTAAACGAACTATCACTTCTTTCAAATGTTTGTTGATTTGATTTTCTTGATACATGTCGGTCGTAATATCTGACGTTGATGATAGGTCGGGCACTTTATCTATCATACAACAAAAAATAAGCTTCAAACTACTTCTTTATTGATAAGGAACATTGAGAAGGCATTTTAAATGGTGTCAGCTGAGGAGGGGAAAAACATTTGATCTCAAGGCATGGTGAAGAGAGGTAAATATTTTTTCCAAAACAATGCTGCATTTGAAAAATACAATTATTAGGTGTGTTCATGATAAAATGATATAGGTAGGCGCATCAACACAGCTGCTTGTAAAATGAGCTGTCAAAACATTTTTGAAATTCTAAATCTTGAATGAAAATTTATTAAAATTAGTGAAATTTGTTGAAAATCACATATCATACCAACCTCTGAATGGCATCGTAAAAATCGTGGCATAAGAAAATCTTTTCAAATTTATTTATTTTTGGAGATATTTTTAATTTTGTTTGGTATTGCGAGTGTTGATGCATCTACATGTATTATTCTACCATGGGTATGTTCGAAAACTTATCCGGTAAAACTTACAATAAAATAGAGGTAGCCACATTTCAAATTAGCATTCCCAGCTCTGTATTTTCTATAATTTACCTTGTCAAATTTCAATGCATAAAAAAGAGTTCCCATCTCTGATTTTGTGTGTATACAATGGATTTATGAGAATATAGATTCTAACAATGAGATGTCGTCAAATATACAAATTTGAAAAAATTGTAAACATATGATTGCATGACTTTACCTTCTTAGCTCTACCATGACTTGCCCAGTAACTTGTACTGAGAAAATATTAAATTGTTGTCGAATCGAAATTGTTATTTTTATGGTAAAAAATAGGGTGCAGGTATAAAGAGTTTTTTTACTGGCTTAAGTCTTCGGCTGCCTTTTTCGTAAAATAACCATGACTCGCGAACAAGTATAAATGATAGGCCAAAATCGAACTAAGTCAGCCTAAAACTCCTTTGTTGTTTTACGATGAAACCAGCCTATCAAAAAACGCATTTATGTATCCTCGCATTTAGCTATTTACTGGCATATTTTCAATGTTGAATGCATTGCATAATTATGAAGGTAACCTCATTTCATATCATAGTATCCAGCTCTGACTTTTTTTGTAATTTACCTTGTCAAAGTTAACTTTATTGAAAATAGGTTCCCATCTCTGATTTGTGTATATATAATGGATTTGTAAATTAACAATTTGACAGCGAGATTTTTAAAATGGAAAAATTTTGAATATGATTCCAAGACATTGCCTTCTTAATTCTACCATAAAAAAGAAAAAGATAGTTATTCGCGATGGAATTCAAGCGTGATAGTGTGATTTCTTTATATTTGGCTGGAAAACCACAAGTGGCTATCGTTAGAGCACTCTAGCATTTAAATGTGAATAAATTTTTTGTGTCTCGTACCATTGCTCGTTATAGTGATACTGGTAGCGGGTAGCGACGTCAAGGAAGTGAACGGAAGTAAACAGCAACATCAGCAGAAATGGTTCGGAAAGTAAATAGGCGGCGGCTAAAAAAGTGCTTCGTGAACTGAACATATCGCAATATTCCATTCGGCAAATATTGAAAAATGAGCTCAGGGTAAAGCCATTGAAATTCCAAAAAGTGCAAGAACTTACACCGCAACAGAAAGAAAATGGACTCAAAACAGCTAAAGTGTTGCTTCGCTTGGCCGAAAGTTGTAAACTACCGAATTCGGGTTTCTCAGATGAGAGATAAGTATATATATTCTTGATCAGCATCAATTCTATGTCGATTTAGCGATGTCCGTCCGCCTGTGGAAATCACTCTAGCTTCCGAACGAAATTAAGTAAGTTGATAAAAATTTACTCAAATGTGTATTATGTCTGCGGGACTTTTGGTATTTAAAATGGGTCATGTAGGTCCACGTCTACGTATAGTCCCCATATAATGGAACCCCCCCCCGATATTCGGTATTTTTATGATTTTAGCGACATTATTTACCGGAATTGTTTCAAAATTGGTATTTGAAGTTCGTAATGGATACTACAGCCTAAGACAGCAAATTGTCTATGTAGGTCCACGTCTTCGTATAGCCCACAAATAACGGTACTC